AATATGTAAGAAGACATTTAATCACATTTGTGTTCAAATATAATTGGGAAAAAATTCTCCAGATAAATGTGTTAAGCTGAAGCAAGAGCTCAATTTGTTAGTTCCATTCCCTGGCACAGACAAAATGCACCCTGTGATCTTATAGTAGTACAAAGAACATCTGGGATGAGGATGTGATCCAGAACTCTGTGTACAACACAAACTCCTCTGTGCTCTTCAAACACAGGATTGGTATTTCCTCTACAGGAGGGATGTTTACAGTGCAGATTGATGAGTGCATACTACACATATTGTTGGACCCAAAATAATGATTGAGCAACTGATTATATCAAGGATGGCACCAACAACATGACCCAATAACTCTGGGTCACATGGCAAGACAATACAAAAAATAGATGACATGTTACATCTGAATCAACCGCCAAACATTTGCTGTTCAAACGCAGAGTGCCCAAGAAGAGTTAGTTACTCATATTCAAGGAGGCAATCTATATCTCCCACTCATACATTCAGTTCTTTATTTGAACTTCCATCTAAATTTGTTACTCTAAAAATTTCAGTTCCATCAACCATTTTGAATATGATGATACTAATATTAAAGTGATGGCACATCTGATTGAATATCTTGAAGAATACATTGAACTTAAGCTATCAGTCAGATAAACACCATGTGCTGGCTAGTTTTGTGTTAACTTGACACAAGCTAGAGTCTTCAGAGAGGAGGGAGACTCAATCGAGAAAATGCCTCCATAGGATCAGGCTGTAGTCAAGCATGTAGGGCATTTTCTTAATTAGTGATTGGTGAGGGAGGGCCCAGCCTATCCCTGGACTGATGATCCTAGATTTTTTTAAAAAAGCAGGCTGAGCAAGCCAGGGGGAAGCAAGCCAATAAGCAGCACTCCTCCATGTCCCTTACATCAGCTCCTGCCTGCAGTTTCCTGTCCTGAGTTCCTGTCCTGACTTCTTTTGATGATGAACTGTGATAGGGAAGCATAAGGCAAATAAATCCTTTCCTTCTGGATGTGGTTTTTAAACACAGCAATAGTAACCCCTACTAGAACATACAGTTTTATTTGATTAAATTTGATGCCTATCAACTAGACATCCAAGGGAAAATACAAGAAGATTTTAAGAGTTTACCACTCTGCTAATCCATTGTAATAATATCTCTGATCTTTAAACTACACAGATTTTTTTCTTCCGAGACCGGTTTCTCTGTGTAGCCTTGGCTGCCTTGGAACTCACGCTGTAAACTAGGCTGGCCTCGAACTCACAGAGATCCACCTGCTTCTGCCTCCTGAGTGCTGGGATTAAAGGCATGTACCACCACCACCTGGCAGAAAATTTCTTGATGACCACAAAAATCTCTTGTGAAAGATCAAGTAAAGTAGGCTTCACAAACCAAGCCAGAAAAGAAATATTGTTTTACTTCATACCTATCTTCATTTTAGATCTAAGAAACAGTAGCCCTATCCAAAGTAGCTTTTCCTCCTGTCTTTAGTCACATTCCCTAGGATCCCATAAAATGTTTGTTCTAATCGTTGATAAACTGTTGCCTAATGACTGTTGAAGATTAGACAAAAAAAATGCATTCAATTCTCAGTATTCTCCAATGTGTTGGATTTTATTTAATCAGTACCTAGAGTCTTATGCAGTGTCAAAAATAATGATATTCCAGATTCTGATTTTGGATGGAGACCTGGGAGAGCCAAGACAGTGAAAGGGCACTGTGTGAGTTGTGGTGGTGTTGGTCATGGTGTTTGATAAAGGATTCAGCACTGAACACTGCAGCTCAGTTCAATTCTACTCAAGCGTGATCCTGCCTTGTTTTCAAGCTTAATATACCCCTTGAAAACCCTCTTGTCTATTTCACAAAGACAGCGTGAAAATAAGTCTACTAAAACTTAAACTTAAGGCTGAAGCACGTTTATGCTTTATAAATTAAATGTGAACTGTGTTCATTCACTTTTATTATTTCCCCATTCCTAAGCAATTGGTAACATTAGTAATCAATCTCTTCTTTCAGACTTTCATTATTAAAACCAAATCTGATAAGAATATAAACATGGAGCATGAAGTCTACTTCAGTTCTGCTTTTTAAATGACTCTATGAAGTAGTCACAAAATAAGATTACTTAATGGAGGAGAAATTTCTGAATCAAATTGTAGCAGTCTCAAACAAAAAGTCCCGCAAATCACAAATTGGGATGTTTGAACTGGTGTGTGTGTGTGTGTGTGTGTGTGTGTGTGTGTGTGTGTGTGTGAACACCATGTCTTAATTGGACTTAAATGATACTTAGGAGCACCATAAAAGTGAACTTTTCCACCATGTACACGATAGACACAAGAGTTAGTGTAACAGATTTCTAAGGGAATTTTAGTACATTCTTAATGGAATTATAACTCAAACTTCATAACTTTCAACATCTAAAATCATCTTGACCTTTTCAGTAGAATCTAATCTCAGATGATTCAGTTTACTTAAGTCCTGCCAAGACAAAAACACTCTGTCAGATAAAAAGGTCTTCAGAAAGGAGTAAGCCTTCAAAGGTTATAAAGCAACAAAATAACTTTTATAAACATGCTTCTCAGATGTTGAATTTAAAGAGCAGCTTTAACTATCCTTGACTTATACCTAGGATACATCAATTGTGGAAGCTTTTATGGACAAAAATAAATTACTCAGCCAGAACACTTATAGGTTCAAATTAAAATTAGTTGGCATCCTGAAAACACACATTAATCTTCACTATGAAGCGTTAATTAAAGAATATAATAAATGCCCATCACTTAAATATGGTTGTATCCTCTGCCATAAAAGGAGATGGTGCCAGTACATACTTCGGCTTCCTAGACAGTAGACAGGGAACTTTCTGCAAATGGATGTTATGCTTATTGACATGTTACAAATTCTGCTTTGCTTCTTAGCTCCAATACCTGTTAACAATGCTAAAACTGATTAATTTGGAATTGCTTGTAATAACTTGGCCCTAAAGGATGCATTCACAACATTAGAATTACATCCAACTCACGGATTAACTCTTAAGCTTCACAAATGATCTTCCTTTTCTGTAATGTAACAAGCTATTGAGTTTGGAGCTCTTCAAGTGTTGAAGCTGGCAGCATTGAAAGCCTAACTTCCTCTCTGAATTATTATTATAAAGTGTTTCCCAAGTTCATTTCAGCAATGGGTCAGAATTAGAAGGTTCATGTGATGTGGGGTTAAAGGTGAGATAATTACAATAGATTGGCATGCTGGAAAATAAGTGTGGCTGGAAGGGCAGCAGGAGGGAGAGCTGGTGAACTCTATGACCAAAGTTCCCTGGAGAAATCAAGCAACCCCATAGCCTCATCTAGGATAATTGCAGCACTGAATGCTCTGCCCAAAAGAGTCGATTCCCACACTCAAAGGGTGTGCCCTCTTGGAACAAATACATGTAATGTAAGCAAGTGGCAGAAATAGCATCAGGAATCCCTTTCACAAAACTTTCTATGGTAGGAAGGAAGACGAGAAAAGATGGAAGTGTTTCTCCATATCTCAACTTTAAGATTACAAACACATAAAGTAGCTACAACCAGATTGTCAGTACTGTTTCAGACATTAACAGTCAAACATCTCAAAGCATTATTTGTAGTGGGTGTTACACAGAGCAGCCATTTCTTGTGTGAACCATATAAATTCTTACATGAGGACAAGTTAACCATAACTTTAAAAAATAAAATAAAAATAGAATACTGCTAGGAAAGCTATGTGAAGGCTTTCCGTTGTTTTGGATGAAAGTCATTAAAAATAAAACCGAACTTCAAAACAGTTCGTGATATTGATCAAAACATAAGGACTGCAACATTGGGTTGGTAATATTGTTTAAGTCAAAATTACAATTCAAAGAGCAGCAGAGAGAAGATGTTAGAGACATAGACGATGGGGGAAGGAAGGGGAGTCCAGCCGCTGGATTTTGATCTCAGCTGTCACTTAAAAGTCTGTTCCCACACTGAAAACGTATTTTTTCCTCTCTCTCCGCTTTTTGCTACTTAAAATGTACTATATATCGTACTAAAATTTTAAATCAAAATCCATATTCAAGAAACAAAATTATACTGCTATAAAAAAAAAAAAAAAACACGCTTCTTTTGAAGCCCTGGTTAAATAACTTTGAAGTCAATGGATATTGTGAGCAGTAAAAATTGAGTATTGACGATTTCAGTACATCGCTTCCTCTGGTTTCTATATCATGTTCTCAATTCTACCCCACATTTCTGAAGGTGGAGAAGAAAAGCAAAAGCCTCGAAGACACTCAGTGTACCGAAAGGTCATAAAATCACACAGACACAGAACAACCTTTCAGTTTTCACAGGCTTAGCTTTAGGGGGGAAAGCTTATTCGCTCAGCTCTTCTCTTGCATTTATCCTGTCTTTCCTGGGATATTGTCATCAATCTACTTAGCCAAATAATCGAGAAACACAAAGATGCCCGCACAAAGGAGTTTTTCCTCTCCATCATAGCTCACACCTGAGCAGTCCTCAGTGAGTAACTGGATCCTAATTCTCAGAGAGGTTGTGTTCCACTCTCATTGCCGGTGTCTTGACCGTACCCCAGATGGATGTCAACACGAGTGGACCCACCCACTCTCCTGCTTTGCCCACTCCACCTTAAACAGCTGCCACTGCAGTTCGTCTACCACATAAATCTGACCCACAGATTCTCTGATTAAAGTAACGTGAATGACCTTACCCTTGATGACAGGTTAAATTACAACCTCTTTAGTATGTTATCATCACAGGCTTACATGAGCTAATCCCATACTGACTCTCCATGACAATAGTGTTTTTGTCACATTCCTTGCTGTATTCACTGGGCCCTGCAAAGTCTCCAAAATTAATGAATATCACTTAGTATTAAACAAATCAAATAATAGTTTTCACATTGTTGACTCAGTACACACACAGATGAAAAGGTCTGTCTCATTTCGGCCGCTCTCTATTTGGCAATTTGTTCTCACCTAACAGCAAAAGACTTCAACTTGCCATACAACCCTGCAGTTTCTTCCTCGGCTTCTCTGGGTGATGACAGGTTACACTCCTTTTCATATGCACTTGGTACACAGGCTGGAAGCCTCCTCCCAGTCTTCCTCATTGCTCTGGGCTCCCAAAATATCCTGTTAAAAATCTTTAGACCTGAACTGAAGGAAACAGGAAGTTATTTCATCCTCTATTTTTAAATTACACATAAATGCAAATACATGATATATACATAAAATCATAAAAGCTTTACATATGAGTGGAATCCCATTCAAAGTAGATATTCCAATCCCATTCTCATTGACTCTCATGCCTAGAATACAAAAGGCAATCAGTGATAATAACTGTTATTAATAAAAGACGAAGTTTAATCTTTCCAATATTCTGCAATATTAGATAGTAGGTAAAATTTACAAAAGCTGTTTCTTATACAGAACATAATCAGTTACATAAATTTTTACTCAACATCATCAAAAGTATATTGGCAATCTTTGTTTTGCCATATTCAAAATGTAATTAAAGGCTTATCATTTCTGTTTTAGTCAATATCTCTAAATACACAGTTAATCATATAATTTTAGTATTTTTATAGTGTCATGAAATATTGCAATTCCTTTTATCATTTATTAAAAAATAAAACTTGGGGATAAATATTAGGGAATAAACTTGAGAGAGCCACAGAATGACTGAAACATGATCCTGCCCCTCTCCCCTTCCTGAATTGAAAGGCCCTAGCAACTCCTCCACCCCTCCTCTTCCTCCCCCATGTGTCTTTCAGTGTCTCTCTGAGTCAGCCAGGAAACTCTTTCATCCATCCCAGCCAGCTGAATATGGACTCCCCTCTTCGAACTGAGGTCGGACTCTATGGAGCAATCAACACAAACAGATATCCCCCAACAATGAAATAACAATATACTGCATTATTATGGTTATTCGATAACTAGCATACCTTTCGTGGGCCATATATGTGGATATCATCTTAATTTGAGTGTTCTGCTAAGATTATGCAATTGCTTACCATCAATTTACCTAGACACAAGCTGAAATATACACAGAAGACTTCCACAGTGATTGGATCTTAGAATCATGATAAATTCTCTTATTTTTAGAACAGGATTAAAACGTTTGAAGTTTCTACACACACACACACACACACACACACACACACACACACACACACACACACGTGTGTGTGTGTGTACATATACACAATGTGTACATAAATATATATTAGTATATATGCATATAAACACTATATTGGTAGAGGTGAGACCCCATAAAGTGTGTATATAAGAGAAAACATGATCTTTCTAGTAAATCCAAATCTAAATTTCTTTTATTAGTAATCACCAAATATATAAAGACAATATTAGTAAGAGAATTTGACCATGTGCTTAATGACTATATTGAAAGTCATAAATGCACTTGACATTTTCTCTTAATACATACGGACAGGAAGGCTAAAGGAATGTTGCTCTATTTAACCAGCTGAATTTCTTGGTCCAATGTCATTTTGAAGTGTCACTGAGCTTATCCTCTACTCAAAGCACAAGAAATAGAAGGAATACAAAGACTGTGTTCTCAGAAATGTGACAATTTGTAAGGGTATTGTTTATGGTTTGAACAACACAAAATGTAATAGAGGAGAAGATTGAAAATAATTTTAAAAACAACAGCTTGACTGATGGGTTGTTTATGAGCTGACATCCAGTGGCCATTAGAAAGAATATAGACAATAGTTTCCAGCTAGGACACGATACAGTGATCTGAGAATAAAGCAAAATGAGCTTGTGGCTGTGGGGTAAGCATTAAAGATGGTAGGATGATTTCCTACAGGAACTTTTTGTTGTTATATATTGTTGAATAAGAAAAATCTTAATTTTCATTAGAGACATTTTCTCTCATAGGATTCTTAAACCCATATTTTTATTTTTTCTGTGTCATGTAACTTACTACATTCTATTTTAATAAGTATTTGTGTATCTATTTCCTAGAATCTTTGAAGGCCTGTACTTGATTGACACCATCTTTGAATTCCAAGAATTTGAACTCAACGTTAAAATGAACTTACACATTTACTTTTCTCTGTAAAACTTTTTTGTCTTACATGACACAGATTTATTTAATTTTCCAGTACCACACAAGTTCTACAGCAGAAGTTACAATTCAAAAAGCAGGTTTGAGCCCTGCTCTTTATGGGTACTTTGCTTCATGTTTGTGCCAGGGTACGTGTAAAGAAACATTTTACGAAGGGCAATTCTACTATCTCTCCAGTTCACTAAACAATATGAGATTTTACAGTTGTGCTGTCTGAAAGCACGTATGTTCTGTTGTCTAAAACAACTCTGCATTAATGACTCTGAGACAATGCAAAGTCAATTCTTTTGAGTGTGTTTGACAACCCAAAGTATTCAAAGTCTAATAAATGTAAACAGCATGAAAGGAAAAAAAAAACTGTGGGAAACTGTAGGAGTGTGGGTGGGGTGGGGAAGTACTGGTATTTGGGATTCCCAGAAGTTTGCATGGAGCAAGCTGACGTGTATCATAGCTGAGGCATTACAAACAATAACAAGTGCTTCTTTTACAGCCCAGAGTGGCTACTACAGAATTAAATCTGAAAAAGAAAACAGAGGCAGCAAAATCTTCAGATGAATTCAGCTAGAAATGACTTGTAGCGGGGCCTACATCATGGCTGAATACTTCCTGTAGATATTCCAAAGAGAAGAGTTTGAATGCCATTTAGTATCTGCATACTTAGCCCATAATTAGAGAGAATTTATACATGAAGCTACATTATGTTGGTAACTAACTTGTTTTGCACACTTCATTCTTGTGAGAATTTCTGACCAAGAAAAAAAATCATAGTTTATGTTAAGCCTTAGAAAAATATACTGTGTGAAATGGCAAGATGGTTCCCAGAATCCACTTTTAGGTAAGGAGAGTGCTAACTCCAAAAAGTTGGCCACTGACCTACACACACACACACACACACACACACACACACACACACACACACACACACAGTGCAAGCACACGTGTACATGCACACACCCCACATGCAAGTGCACACAGACACACCTTTATATTTTTAAAACTGTGTTGTATTAGAGAGATCAAGGGAGTATGTGGAAGGATTGGAGAGAGGAAAAAGAAGAGGTAAATGACATGATTATAATTTAAAAAATTAAAATTATTATTAAAATTTTTAAGAATTTTTTAATGCATTGCAATGTCACATTCTCATCATGTCTGTCTTCATGCATAAAGCAAAATAGACACAGGACTCAGTTGATGCTAAATTCGGGGCCTTCTTTCATCAAGTAGCTACAGAATTCTTGAAGGTTAGCCCATCATTGACTCTTTAAGCTGAAAGAAATAATCTTGGGGAAAAAATTACACTCAATCTTATTAAAGAATATACAACAAACATTCAGATGCTTCTCAGGAAGATCTGCCCTCGGCAGAGGGTATATGTGTTCCTCTCGTGGGAAACTCCCCAAGGGTCAGCAGTGCTGCACTTGGCATAGGGCATATTTTAAGCTGTTGTTCCCAAACTACGTGGTGGCCTATGGAGCATCACAGAACACAGCATTACTGACTCCCCTCCAGTATCTTCTCTTTAAAGGAAACAAGATATTGGGAGGAGAAACAGTGAGTTCTCCCAGACTACAGACACCTTAGAAGAGGAATTGCAGATTTTTCTCTTTACACCGTATGCTCTGTTTTTGCAGTGTATCTCAGCATTCTGTGTGTGACTCCGCCACACCCAGCTTTCTTGTAACAACTGAGCTGCTGAGAGCAGGATCACTACTAACCCAGGCAGATCAGTCCAGCAGTGTTTAAAAAAAAAAAAAAAAGACAAAAACAGAACTCCTCAGGCATTTTGCAGAATGTCAAAATGTAAAGAGTCTAATATTTTCACGCACTTGGCTTTTATTATGAAAGTACGTGGTAGTGTTGGTTCAAAATCAGTGGCAGATAAAAGGGCTTCTTCAAGGATGGGAAAGAGACACCAGCTGACCCTTGGAACTCACAGGGCTCTTGTTGCACAACTTGGGAAAAGTTGAAAAGTGGAATCTTTAGCGGAGCTCTTACTCCCTCTGGTGATGGCTAAATGAAACGTAAATGCTGCCTACCAGGTTCTGCAGAGCTTCTGAGTGCCCACCCCTGAACTACCAACCCTAGAGAGAATGCCCAGATACAAAAATAAGTTCTACTTTTCAACGAATTCACTGAAAGAGAAATTCACCAGGATTTGGTGCTACATTAAATTTTAATTTTTTGTTCAATATGTATATCTTTAAATATCTACATTTCTTCATACATAGGTCTAAATTACCCAACAAAAAGCGTTAAAAGTCTTCTCATGGATATAACTAGACTCATTGACTCATAACTCACACTTCTATTGAATACAGTGGTCCCTGCTAGTCATTTAGTAACTGACTCTTTTATCAGATCAGCTTCCGTGTGTCTCAGAGCTTGTGTTCAAATATCTCATTTAACATAGTAACCCTAAACCTAGATGAGGGAAATTCAAATATACCAAGAAAAGCCATCAAGCATTTCATTAAGTGAAAAGGTGGAAGTACAATAAGATGTATCAGATGATATTGAAGAAGTTCATATTCTCAGAGACTTTATTACAGCACATTGTTATAACTGTTTTCTTGTTGGTTATTATTATCAATCTCTTACAATGCCTTAATAAATTAAAAGTTATTAATTAGTCGGTATATAAGTAAGTATATAAGCATAAGAAAAGTTATTAATTAGTAGGTATTAAGTAGGTATATAAGCATAAGAAAATTATTTTGTATGTATAGGATTTGGTACTATCTGTGATTCCAGACAGCCAATGAGATATATTAAAATATATCCCTTATAGAAATAGAGGAACAGTTGTTGCTCTCACAGACATTTGTACTTTTTTATAACTGAAAAGTGGAACGTAGTGAGGTGTGATGGTACTCATCTATAATTCCAGCTGTTGGGAGACAGAAGCAGGAAGATCCCAAGTTCTAGGCCAACCTGGCTACAAATGAGCTCTAGGCCTGCCTGGTAATTTACAAAATTGGTCCATAAGTGAAAAGTCAAGAGTCTCAACATGAGTGTTCCTTTTGGGTTCTCAAAGACAATCCAGTTGAAACCACCTTATTTTAAATTTTAGATTAAAATTTAACTTAGATGTACTGTTCTCTACTCCCAATCATTTCACAGAGCCTTGATCTGCCTTCCCAAGAATTTCTCTGTTCTCTGTAGAAGCCCAGGACCAACATATACTTAAACCTCCCCCTATTCAATGTCTTATATTCCATGTCCATCACACCACACAAATCTATAATGTGTCCTATTCATTTTTATGGCAGTTTCCAGTATATAACCATTGAGAAAATAAACATACATACATACATGCATACATACATACACCCACACACCCATACATGCAGACAAACAGCAAAGAGAGCCACAGTACAAACATCTGCTTCTCACATCTCGTAGTTGCTTTCATAGGGACATTTCTAGAGATAAGAGTCTTTAACCTGCAATAGTAATCACATCACACAGTAAAAGAAGTTAACGTACTGAGCAGCAGCTTCAGCATGTGATGTGTTAGGAACATTCCCTACACTGCCTCACTTGACCTTCAGCATACCCCTGATATAAACTGAAATTACCTGTGGTTTATAGATGAGAACTTGAAAGCCTGATAAGTGACTCAGCCTGTGTAACGTGTCTCTCTCAGTGGCTCCAGTTTTTACAAATAGGTTTGTTTGCATTCAAGGCCAATCCTGCTTACATTTACCAAATAAGGCCATGATTCTGGCCCATGTTTCTTGGATGACCTTTGGATCTCAGATAAAGATAGCTGTCCTCTCTGTTTGTGCCTGACAACCTTCCTCATGAGTTCTGAGTTATTCTCAGTCCTCAAATATGGAAACGATCTTAGAGCAAACATACAAATATGAAGTCACTGGACCAATTTTCACTTCAGTCCCAGAATTATCATTATTATTATTTATAACCCTTTATTGGGTGTTTTATTGCATGATGAAATCCGTAGAGTTCTAAGTGAACCATATCATATATCATTAGAAGCATTTGAACCCTCAAATTATCCTCCAAGTATTTATTGAAAGCTGTGAGCCAATTTTGTGTTAAACATTAGAGATATCATGAACCAGTCCTTAGAGTTTCTAACTGTGGAGTCCTAACAGCAGATTGGAGATGTAATGGGCTAAGCATCATGGTATAAAACAAGGAAGATGTCTTCAGTGTTTTTGATCTTAGCCATTCTGACAGGCGTAAGGTGGTATCTGAGAGTTGTTTTGATTTGCATTTCCCTGATGATTAGGGATGTTGAGCAATTCCTTAAATGTCTTTCAGCCATTTGAGTTTCCTCTGTTGAGAATTCTCTGTTTAGTTCTATAGCCCATTTCTTAATTAGACTGTTGGGCATTTTGATGTCTAATTTCTTGAGTTCCTTATATATTCTGGATATTAGTCCTCTGTCAGATGTGGGGTTGGTGAAGATCTTTTCCCATTCTGTAGGCTGTCGCTCTGCCTTGTTGACCGTATCCTTTGCTCTACAAAAGCCAAACAAATGGAAACACATGAACTATGAACCAATGGCTGAGGGGTCCCCAACTGGATCAGGCCATCTGAATGGGTGAGACAGTTGATTGGCTTGATCTGTTTGGGAGGCATCCAGGCAGTAGGACCGGGTCCTGTGCTCATTGCATGAGTTGGCTGTTTGAAACCTGGGGCCTATGCAGGATCGCTTGGCTCGGCCTGGGAGGAGGGGACTGGACCTACCTGGACTGAGTCTACCAGGTTGATCTCAGTCCGCGGGGGAGGCTTTGCCCTGGAAGAGGTAGGAATGGGGGGTGGGCAGGGGGGAAGGTGAGGGGGGCAGGAGCGGGGAGAACAAGGGAATCCGTGGCTGATATGTAGAACTGAATTGTATTGCAAAATAAAAACAAAATTTAAAAAAAAAAAAAAAAGGAAGAGGGAAGCAGAGCAGGCAGAACGGAGACTTGTCCCAGGAAATGTGATCCCAATGAAAGAAGTTCCATGCAAAGAAAACAGTACAGGGAATTGGACAAATTCAAAATAAGTTAGCCACAGGACTCTGTAAGATATTTGATATGAGAAACAGGAGGAAGGTGGACAAGACCTTAAGTTAAGTTGAGGAACTGAAGCTTTGTTATGAGTAAATCTGATACAGTGATTACAGGAAAATGAAATATCTTGTGAATTTTACCAGTAGCTCCATAGAACTGCATGGAAAGAGGCCACAATGTGGGTAAGATACTTACAATGACTGCTTCAGTACCTAGTGTAGAAGCAGTGAGCTGGTTAAAGGACACAGGTGTAGTGGTACTTGAAAAATAGAACTGTTAAAATGGATAAGTAATAGGATTGTATATGTCATATATATGTATATACATATATGATAAAAGGATGAGTCAAAACCCAGCTAGATAAAATATCATCTATAAGATACAAAATAATAAAGAAGAGGGTCTAAGTAAATGAATGAAACATAAGTACATTTGATATTTCAGGAGAAACTGTGTTAGTCCTAATCTTAAATCCAGATATTTTGTAGTTTGACTAAAGATAAGGCTGTTTTCAACAGCACTGTGGAGAATGAGTGAATGGAATGACTATTGTAAAGACAGTGTGATATTCCCAAGGACTGGAGTGCAAGTAAGAATGAGGAAACGGCCTTTCGAACTTGGGCCTGGCAGAAGGCTCGCTCAAATAAAGGTAGGGAGAATTAGAAGGACCTTTCTGCCAGAGGAGATGGAGGACACCAGGAGAACAAGGCCCTCTAAATCAACATGAGCAAAGCTCATATGAACTCGCAGAGACTGAAGCAGCATGTCCAGGACCTGCCTACATCTGCACTGGGTTCTCTGTGCATATATGATGGCTTCCAGTTCAGTGTTTTTATGGGATTCCTCAGTGTGCAAATGAGTGAGTCCCTGATCCTCGTGCCTTCTCTTGGGCTCATTTCCTTCTGTTGGTTTGTCTTGCACAACTTTGATGTGATCGTTTTTTTTTTTTTTTTTTACCTTATTGTATTTTATCTTATTATATGTTTTAAACAACTAGTAATTAAAACCTAGCCACTAGGGTAAAGGTTAACAAATTAGCTGTCACTTATACGTGCTGAGAGAGAGAGAAATAGTTTTCTCCAATACAGTGATACTGAGTAGGCATATCAACCACTCCAGGATGGGCCTCATGTTCAGGAGTAGTTGACCAACACATAACTGACTCCACAGGAGTTTTCACGCTTTTGTTTAGTTACAGTTTAGGGTCTTAGTGGGAGTAGGTTTTTTTTTTTTTTTCCTTTTTGGATGTGGTTTTATTTTGTTATCTTGGTTTTTGGAGGTTTTGTTGCTGTATTGGGTTTTTTTTGTTGTTGTTTTTTGAACAAGGACTTAAAGTTAAGTGGGCAGAGACAAGGAGAGGATCTGGAGGGACTTGGGGGAGGGCAAGAATATAATAAAAATGTATTTGAATTTGAAATTGTTTTAAATAATAAAAAATATAATATACAATTACATATTTCAGATTTTTATCCATACATTATAAAAATAAGATCATTTACAGTGGCAAACCTATAGTATTTATAAAATTAAAATAATTGGTGACTTCTTATAATTCCTTGGGGAAGAGAGTATCAAATCAGTAACCTATAAAATATATTATATATAAAAAGCAGTCTTCAGACTAAATAAAGAATCATTTGTGAACTTTGACATGATTGACACATAAGTTTCTTTTCAGGCTCTATATACACTTTGTAGACACTGTCTAGGAAGCTGCCATTCATCTTTCCCACTTCATCTTCCCCAGCATTTACTTACCTGAAGCCAGTTTATCAAGATTTACAATGGGAAGTGGCAAATATCTAGAAGTTTGTACCTGGTTCCAAATATCCACTGTTGGTTCCCACTAGTCAGTCCACAAGAGAAAAACAAAATCTAACATAATATTACCAGACAGCTCTAAAGAGAAACCGCTTATGATTACATGAAAATGCTGGTGTGTGGCTCCGAAGGACCCTTCCTTGCATTGAACAAGATGGGCAGAATGAGGTCCCTGGGTTTTCAGTAGATGAACAGATGAATCCTGTGTCTGGGACTCATCTTACATAAAAGCTTTTAAGTAGTTGACATAACTAAGGAATTTTTATCTTTACTTTTAACATGGGATATACTTGGAAATTGTATGTTATGCATGGTTTTAGGGGCTTCAGGGCATTCTTGCTCTTCGATTCTGTTTGTTTTGCTTTTACGACCTCTCTCCAGACGTTTTTGGTAATTTTCTCAAATGTGATATGTAGCTAGAGTTTTTCTGCCTGGCCCACAGTCAGGATAAATCTCTCTCACCTGCCAGTCCCACAGCCGCTCAGACCCGACCAAGTAAACACAGAGACTTACATTGCTTACAAACTGTATGGCCATGGCAGGCTTCTTGCTAACTGTTCTTCCAGCTTAAATTAATCCATTTCCATTAATCTATACCTTGCCACATGGCTCGTGGCTTACCGGCATCTTCACATGCTGTTTCTCATCTTGGCAGCTGGCAGTGTCTCTCTGACTCAGTCTTCCACTTCCCAGCTTTATTCTCCTCCTTGTCCCGCCTACACTTCCTGCATAGCCAATGGCCAATCAGTGTTTTATTTATTGACTAATCAGCAACACATTTGCCATACAGAATATCCCACAGCAGTGATATACTTATAAATTCCCACATACCCTGTAAACATGATTAGCTGAAAAAAAACTGCAGAATTCAATTTCCAAAGTATGTTTAGCTAACAACCTAAACCAAAGTAACCAATAAAACTTTGTACTTATAATCACAATAATTTAAATTCAACTTAAAGTGGGTTAAAAATTAGATTGTGACTACAAGATACATTTATAAGTGCAAGGGGAGGATGGATTAATCATGGTGTGAGTATGATAAACCAAAAAGGCAATTTTTGACCCATCCAAGCAATGTCGAATAGATAGGTTTACTAGCCAAGACAATCCTATTGTATAGAGGCTGTTAAATCCTCAAGTCAAATACGTAACCTATTCTGATATCAAGTGCCCCAAGTCTGTTCCTGATTGTTTAGATGAAGAATGCTCTGGTGAGAAGAAAAGAGTGTTGGTTTACATTGTGTGGCTTTATACTGGCTGTTGCATTCTTCATGTAAAATGATACAAAGCCGTTCTTGTTTCTGTATTTCAGTCTTGTACGAATTCAATCAATGTAAGTGGTCTAACACATTTGACTAACTGTAAGTTATTGACATGATTAAATCTTTGGTTCTATTAAGCTAGGCTGGAGAAAAAGAGTCAACATTTTACTTATACTCCCTGCTGCTTTTTGACTTTTTGGAATTTGACCATTTGACTGGGTAGCCTTCCTAGCTGAAACAATCGTAACTTCTATAACAAAAATTGTGTTTATAAGAAGAGATTATATACAACATTAACAGTCAATAGGTTCCTCTTGGCCAGTGAAGATGCTTCAGTGTGACCAACAGAACATTATAATTTGAATCTTTGAATCTTTGCTTCAAGATTTTCTCCTTACATCATCACTATGAAATTCTTTTTATCGTAGCAATGCCATTATGAAACCTAAATCCTTGTGTTTTCTACAAGTCAAACTTTCTTGGGCATGATGGAGAAAAGTAGAGACATGTGGTATGTCCGAAGTAAAACATTTTGAGATAGTTTACTGCTATGGCACACAACCAGGAATGGGTAAAACTTGCAGCCCGACCTCCTTCCTCCCTTGTTTGGGTGGCAGGATGGAGACATGGAAACAGACACCAGGGCCACGAGCAGAGTGAGACTGGAAGGATGACTTTGTTAGAGAAGGCCCAGGTCACCCAGGGTGGGTCTTTGCTTAGATTATCAGGAGTGTGACTAGCAGACCCATGGCAGTCCCTACTATCTCCTCCTCCCTTCAGCTTCACTGTCTACTCACACAAACAGGCCTGAGTATAAAAATCGAAATCTCAGGACTTTCTGAGTTACAGCATGTATACAAATTTTTCAAAGTTAGAAAAAACAATTGTCCCAGACAAAATTACCAGGCAAGTTTTTAAAGTGAAAGTAGAGAGGGAGCAGAGCTTAAACACATGCCTTTCAAGGATTAGAAGCCCTGTTCATTTCACTGTGTCCAAACAAGGTGCACAAGTGATGAGTAGTCAAGAGGGAGCTTGCAGAAGCAGAATTGGCACAGGGTTGGTGAGCTGAAGATCTCCCTAATGTAAAATGTAAAGTCAAACTCTCACAACTCAGACCCAGGTAGACCTGATTTCATCTACAATTAGCTCTATGGCCTCTAATTGGTTTTTAATTTTCTAATTTATGAAATGTATGCAGATATGTCTATGAAAAATGTTATAAGTAAATAAGTATCCCAAACTCCACATTAGCTGGCATAAAGTAGGTCCTCTGTAAATTTGCTTTTAAACCATACACTCTTGGTTGAACTGAGAATTTATCCGACCTGCACTATTCACAATAATCATATTGTATAATCATTCTAGGTGC